TTACCTGAACAGGTAGTTTACCTGAACAGGTAGAGTTTACCTGAACAGAGAGTTTACCTGAACAGGTAGAGTTTACCTGAACAGGTAGTTTACCTGAACAGGTAGAGTTTACCTGAACAGGTAGAGTTTACCTGAACAGGTAGAGTTTACCTGAACAGGTAGTTTACCTGAACAGGTAGAGTTTACCTGAACAGGTAGACTCTGAACTGAACTCAGGGTTAGGTTCTGATCAGAACTGATCAGGTTTTAGTTAAAGTTGTTGTCATGTTGTTTTCCTACCTTTCTGTCGGCTCCTCTGGATCAGAACCACTCAGAACCTGCTGACACCTGTTTCTGCTGCTCAGCTCTGGGGGAACCTGAAGGGATTTGTCGGCGTGTCTCACCTGTAGGCGTGTCTCACCTGTCGGCCCCTCCCTCAGGGTTGTGTTTGTCTGCACTCAAACACTTCCTGTTGGAGCAGCTCTCTGATGTTTTCTGTGAGTTTTATAAGAGAACTGTTTGCTGAACGGTCTGGGTTCTGGGTTCAGGGTCCTGGGTTCTGGGTTCTGGTCGGACTTCATGAACTGGACCCTGCAGACTCTGGTCACAAACACAGGATGACCTACTCTGGTTTACTGAGTGTGCTTAAATAACATCCAACTCAAAACGAGAGAAGACATCTATATTTAAATAAAACCGGTCCATCAGAACCGTTTCCCAGTACCGTCTCACCTGTTGGACCTGCTGCAGGTATGGAGGCGTGTCAGTGTGTGATGACACATGCTGACAACTCAACGTTCAAATAGTTTTCTGATTTTATCAGAAATATTCTGGGTTGCTGCYGACACACACAGGTATGTTTGAAAACAGCAGTCTTTGTCAGAGTGATGCATCTGTCGTCACAGGGGATCTTTGTTGAACTATTTTAGTTTCACCTCTGTGCCGACAGCTTGGAGGAGCTGTTTGCTGCAGTGCATTCTGGGTAAAGATCTGTCCTCTGGTTCCTTCAGATGAAACTTTTCAAACCTGGAGAGAAGAGGCCATGACCTTTGACCTTTGACATGCTGACAGACACCTGTAAAGTATGAGATGGAGCTCACTGCATGGTCTGACCTTCAGGGTGAAGACAGTCAGCTGTAGAGTGATAGACATTAAATAATCTTTATTCTGGTCACAGTGAGAATCAGCAGCTCTCTGAGGTCATAGCTGGTGTCGTTCAGCCATGATGATGTAACTCACCTGAAGCAGCAGGTAGAGCTGGTCCCAATTCACTACAGTTCACTACAATTCACTACAGTTCACTACAGTTCACTACAATTCACTACAGTTCACTACAATTCACTACAGTTCACCACAGTTCACCACAATTCACTACAGTTCACTACAGTTCACTACAGTTCACCACAGTTCACTACAGTTCACTACAGTTTACTACAGTTTACTACAGTTCACTACAGTTCACTACAATTCACTACAGTTCACTACAGTTCACTGCAGTTCACTACAGTTCACTACAGTTCACTACAGTTCACTACAATTCACTACAGTTCACTACAGTTCACTACAGTTCACTACAGTTCACTACAATTCACTACAGTTTACTACAGTTCGCTACAGTTCACTACAGTTCACTACAGTTCACTACAATTCACTACAGTTCACTACAGTTCACTACAATTCACTACAGTTCACTACAATTCACTACAGTTCATTACAGTTCACTACAGTTCACTACAGTTCACTACAGTTCACTACAGTTCATTACAGTTCAC